CATTCCTCTCCTGCTCGCGGAGCCTCGCGAGCGGCACCTGCGCCGCGCGGGGCTCTCGTCTCCGGGCGGGTCGATGCGCGTCGATACACGATACGTCTTCCTGAGCATAAAGGAAATTCAATACCCCCCTCGCCAGTTCACTCTCGATTACTGATCGGATTTGTGCCTCTAGTTTTACTAACGATGACGATGAAATAATAGATTTCCCCACGAAAATAGTTTAAATTACTTTGTTTTGCAAGATGCTGTTATTTCTTTTGTAGATTCTCTTTACTCTTGAAACGATTTTTGCTTTTTTGGTCCCAGCAGCTGCCGCGTACGAGTTGTTTAGAAGCCGATGTAAATGTTTCCAGCAGTTAGCTCGGTGTTACTGACTAATGCGTCTGTGTTCTGTCAGTTCATGTCACCTTATTTTAGTCACAGACCCATTTACTCAATTAATTACGTAATACATGTAAGAAAACAGTAATGGGCAACTTCAGTTCTTTGGTGTTTTTTTAACTGATTTATCGAGTTTGCTTGAAACGATTTTTTCCCTCCAGTGTCCGGACTGCCAGCGCTATTAGTTGGCAATGTCCTGTTATAAATTCACTCGGGAAGGTGCTTTCTGTGGTCTTCCTTTCAGCTGGTACCCCGCCAGCCTGGCCTGCCCACGCACGCCCTTCCCACGGCGGGCACGAGCTGCCGGGGAGCGTTAAAACGACCCGAAGGGTGCGGGCTCCAGGAGAGGAGAATAGGCTTTCTCACCATGACACGCGGGCTTTTAAACAAAAAGTTAATTTCTTTTTGATTGGGCTGGGCTTTGTTGCGGCGGAGGGCTCGCGCCGCGTGGGTAATTGTGGGCAGCGGGGAGGGGGGGGGCGGGCTTCGCCTCCCTCGCGCTCCGGGCTGTTTCCTCTCCGTGTCGCGGGCGGCCCGCGAGAAGCACTGCGCCAGCGGAGGCACGCGCGGCCCTAATTAGAATGACAATGGAAGCGCGCCAAAGGAACCAGCAACAGTTTGCAAATCTGCCCTCTGTCCCTCAGCGCCCCCCCCTCCACACACACTCCCCTCACTATTGACTCTCCCCGACACCGAAAACCAAAGATTAGTTTTGCTCTGGACATGTGGCAAGCAGGGAGCAGAAGACAAAAAGTTTATGTCCTGCAAGCTGTTCTCGGTGCGCGCGTTTGTGTGTGGTGGTGGTGGTGGGGGTTGAAATGGCGACTTTTATTGAATAACACGCCGCAATTGTGCACACATTAGACACGAATAAAAATGCAACTGTGTTGTAGCCGTCTCCTTTAAGGAATATATCGCTACTCTGTACGTCGTTGCTGCCACTAAACAATCTTGCGTTATTTTCTCCAAACCATTTTAGTATATGTAAATAGACGAGGTCTGAACACCGGCGGGAGACGCAGCTGCAGGGATATAAATCTGTTGTAAAGAAATAGATTCTAGAAAAGATAAGAACGCGAGAGAGGTTACAAGCGCCTGGCCCGTCTAGCCTGTTGGGTAGCTCGTACTTGTCGACCGCAAAATCAAATCCGCCGGTTTCTTGTATGAAGCCGAAGTATCGGCATCAACTGCATAGC